CCTGGAACCTGTGATCTTGGTCTCGGGAGTTCTGTGTGTACAGGTATGTTCCATCACACCTGGCTCTATGGGATTTCTTGTAACAACATATAATCTACAGTTATGTCTAAATAAAAGTGTAAGCTGGGCATGGGTAATTTAAGTCTGGTGCAGAGGGCACACCTTTAATCCCAGCACTGGGACACAGAGGCAGGGTATGGCAGAGCTTGTGGCCAGCCTGATCTACATGGGAAACCCTGTCTCAACAACAACAGCAACCATGACAAAACGTTTACTTTTAAAAACTGAATTAATTGGATGCACTGATCCATGACCGCGATCCCAGCATTTACGAGGTACAGGCTAATTTAAGGCTACACAGAAAATTCCTGGGCAGCCTGACCTTGCCTCACACCGCCTCAACAAAGTGTTAGCATGAACCTCCCTTCAGACTATCCTGTCGTCTGAAATGATCACGGCTTAGAAGAACCTTCCCTTAGCTGTAATTCTGTCAGCACCTCCAAGGTTGGAGGCTCTCAGTTATGACTAAAAACTGCTCTTTCAGAGAATCGGGGTCAAGTCCCAGCACCCACATGACAATGTACAACTGTGTGTAACTCCAGCCTTGGTCTGACTCCCTCTTCTGGCCTCTGCAGGCACACGGCACACATACATGTAGATAAAACACCCATACACATGAAATAAAATTTTAAAAGTTTAGAATGATATTTAATAAAAGATTAAGGGTCACAAAGATTTATGAGAAGCAGACGCAGGACTCTGGGCCCGAATTGCTGCACAAATACACCAGCCTGTGGTAACCTCCAGCAAGCCTACTAACTCACAAACAATCAGCTGTTGAGCTAGCATTGAAATGTTCAGGGTATTTCTGCATATTAATCGAGGTTTCTTTGGGTTTTGTTTTGTTATTGTATAATTCCTTCAAATTATTTCTTTACAAAGAGCTAGGGGAAATGTCCTTTCTTAGTTTAAAAAAAATCATCCATAAAACAAAAGCATATTTTCATCAATTTTTAAACAAAGAGCCAAAGTTGCCTCACTTGCCACTCAGCCTTTGCTCCGGGGGGAATCATCTCTGTGCATTTGTCTCATTTTTGTGTGTGTATTTCTACACATTTGTTCAGTTTTGTGTGTTTGATTTAAAAAAAAAAAAACAAGATCGGATCACATTGTTATGTCATTCTTGAGATTTCTCGCTCTGGAATGTCTCAGAAAGTCACGTGTCTGTATGTTCAGATGTAACTGAACTTGTCTGGTCCGATGGCCTGGGAGCATTCTTTCTGCAGGACTGAGGGCCCACGGTCCATCCTTACTCACCTGTTGACACAGGATGGCTGGGAATGTTGCTATAGCAAGCCATGCCATCAGCAGTGACATCATCGCACTGAGTGCAGAGGAGGTGACACCTCTGTGACAGAGACACAGAGACACTGGTCCCCTCTATTATGGTCTTCTCTTTTTCCTAGGTGGGCTTGACAATTTCCTCGATTTTGCTTGAGGCTAAGGGAAGGCACGTGATCGAGTTCTGGCCAATTAAACATGAACAAAATTTTACTGAGCAGCCCCTGGGAATGGTTGGCTCTGTCCACTTTCCTGCCTTAAGGATGACACTTTGGTGACTACAGGGCTGCAGCCAGGATACGACGTGGGGGTGGGGGAGCCACAAGAATCACTGAGATGCTGGCTCTAACATCAGAGCTGCTTGCTGAGGGCCACAGCAGTCACTTGTCATTAAGGAGGAGCTGGCTTAGGCTGCCGGAAGCCTGGTTTTCTGTTACTTGCAGCCAAAAGCATTCCTTACACTTTAAGTATTAAATTACTCTTGAAAATGCCTGCACCCCTGTGGCTGGTTAAGAGCACTGGCTGCTCCTTCAGAGGGTCCAGTTCCAGCATCTACATGGTGGCTCACAACAACCATCCTTACCCCCAGTTCCTGTGGATCAAACACCACCTTCTTCTGGGCTCCACAGGTAGCAGGCACACACATGGCATATGGATATACATGCAAAACACCCACAGAAATGAAATACAAATAAATAAATCTTAACGACAAGAAAAACCTGTGCTTTTTTTTTTTTAAATTTTCTTCCAAGTTTATTGAGAGGAGTCGTTTCCCAAACATGTCAGCTTTGAACACTGGAAGTCACCTAAGTGTTTAACAAGATGACCTGGGAATGGTCGTTCACAAACACACTCATCATTCAGTTTTCTTCTCCCACGGCTTTCTCATTCCTACCTCTTGTCTGCTTTTCTGGGTGCTGTGTAACAGCAAAGTGGGGACAGGGTTCCTCGGAGCCTCACACTATCAACCCAAGCACACACAACGGGAAGGGACAGCCCAGAGAGACAGGCTAAGGTGACAGCGACAGCCATTTCTGAGTACACAGCCACACGTACTGTGTCAAGCAGTAATTCAACTTGCTGCCAGCACTTTCCTTTCTAAACCCACACGAGACAAAGGTTGTGGCGCAGTGGCACAGGCGTACACAGGGCGATTCTCGATATACGGTTTCTTTTATCCCGCCCCTCAAACCCAAGAGTGGCTGGTCGCTGTCACGCCTATTTGACAGAATAAATGATGAAAGCAAACGTTCTTAAAAACCATCAATCACTTTCATACCACAAACACTTCCAAACACGGCAGGCCCAATATTTAATGACAAAATGACTGTCTTCATTTAAATTATATAAAATATGTTCTGCCTATCTAAAGATACCAGCATACTTAAGCTGGAAACACTGCTGAACCCGTTTGGTGGTTTGTTCTTCTAAAGAATGTTTCAAATCTGATTCTCAGGAATAGACATGAGGGTAGAAGGAGCACGTGTCGGAGGGGGCTAAGGGGAGTTGGGGGTGGATATGATCAGGACACGCTGCATACCTGTGGGACTGTCAAAGCACAAGCTGAATCCCCCCTCCCCCGAATTTCTCTATGTAGCTTGGCTGTCTTGATACTGTAGATCAGGCTGGCCTTGAACTCACATAGATCCTCCTGCCTCTGCCTCCCAAGTGCCAGGATTAAAGGCGTGTGCCACCACCACCAGGTCCCAACCAGGCCAGAAGTAGATAAAACAACTATTCTCAAGTATTTTGTTAGACCACATATGATCAAAATTATATCAACTTTTTGGAGTAAAAAACTCATGTTAGTGGTATTTTCAGGCTTTTACTAGCCAGGCACCCCACCCTAGGACAGCAGGCGTGGAATTCCCCTAATCGGTTAACAAGTAACCAGGCTGACACAGAAACAAACAAAATAGACTGTTAACCATATGAAGGCCTGTCCAGAAAAGCAATGTCAACAAGCCCAACCAGGCAGCACCTCCAGTAACACCTACAAGGTCTGCCTTTTCTATAGGCTGACTCTGCTTCAGAAATCTGAGCCCGCAGAGGACTGGGGAGTTTGCAAAATTGCAGCTCAGAGGCAGGAGCGGCAAGAGGGCCCAGGTCCTGGCAAGTATCCCCTAGCAGCCTGCCACAGCTCTTGCTACAAGTCCACAGTAGATAGGACCACTGGGTTCACCAAGCTCGGAGACCCTCCCTGAGGGGACATCCCCAGCCAGGGTCCCCAAAACTCCAGCCCCTATGGTGGGAAGGCTAGACTCCAGAGGGGCTATCCACATAAGCCCCAGGCAGGCGTGGAATTCACTCCAAACCCTCTTGCAGGGTTTTCAAAACTCATTTATAGGGCATGAAAGGCTTCTGGGGAGTTTGAATTCTCTGTTGTACATTTAGAAAACCAGTCTGTAGACACAGGCAGTGTTTACAGTGTACAGGGTGAAGTGGATGGCAAATCCCCACCCAAGGGACCTCTGGAGAGTCTCTGTATTCTCCTGGCTTGTCCAGGGGTCTTACTTGGGGGGAGGTACTGGGCTATTCCTCCATCCTCATCCTATTTCCCAGGAGGGCTGCAGTCCCTGCTCACTGCACTGGCATACAGGCTGCAGGGAGCAATCAGGTCTTTGGGGAGGGGACAGGAGTGTTTGTCCTGCACAAGGCAGGAGGACAGTGAAGCAAGAGTTAGTCGCCAGAACAAACCAAGTCAGATTGGTCAGCTCTTCAAAAACAGTCTGTCCAACCTGCAGGACGCACAGTGACTCCAGGCAGTTCCCAGGGGTCAACAGACCAAGAAAAAGAGCAAAAAGTAAACAGAGAAAGGGACTAGAGCCAGAATATGCCCCCAAACAAACCAGGAGCAACACTGCATTGCCGGTTGGGTCCTTGACCAGTTCCCCAAAGCTCTAACAGAGAAAGAGCTAGGAAGGAAGTGTGCGCGTGTGCCTGTACGTGTGTGGTGCTGTGGGGTCAGCACAGCTCCTCTTCCAATTGCACAACCAACTATTCTCAAGACAAGGTCTCACTATGCTGTGCACAAGCTTGTGTGCACTCCTGTACCCACTGGTTCTGGTCAGGGCGGCGGATACACACACACACACACACACACACACACACCCTTACAGTAGAGAGACACAGTGCATTCTTCTGCCAGTCGGGTAACGTAGGCACACGATCACAAACACACCAACTCCATCAGGAGTGAACATACTCATCCACCGTCCCCAGGCTCCGGCTCTGCACACACTCTGTTATCTCTCAGTCAGATGCATACAGACATCCACGTAAGACCACAAACTCCACACAGCCTGTCAGCAACACACAATCTGTTAGAAGCACACACGCCCTTACAATCTTCCAGCTGGCCTGCGCGCACACGTAGGTGCACCCACAACCTGTCACACGCACTGCATGCACACTTAAAACAGCTCTGTGCAGTGTGCACACACCCGATCCCAACTTCTCAGCCGCTCATGCACACTCACACGAGCTCAGCTGGCAGACGCACCCTCGCAGCCTACCTCTGCTCCAGGCGCACCCCACACCCACGCACCCTCCCGGCTCGGTGCACCCCTCCCCCACGCCCGTGCGGACGCACACCGAGAACTCCGGCGACGCGGGGTGCACTCACGCCCCTCGCGGCAGCTGCCCGTGCCCCTCCTCACCTTTTTCGCCCGCGCAGGGCGATCGGGCCTCGTCCTCCTTGGGGTTGGTCACCTGGGTGATGATGGCCGGACCGTCCATGGGTGCGCGCAGCGCCGGCCGCCCTCAGGCCCGGCCCCCCGCAAGCTAGGCGCGGGGGGCGCGCGGGGGCACGGCGCAGGGGGCGCGCAGGAGCGCGGCGCGGTGGGGCGCTCGCCGCCGCCGGGGCGCGCCCGCCGCCCGGCCCCGCGCTCCGACCGAGGAGGCCGGGGCCCGCGCCCCAGCTCCCGCCGCCGCCGCCGCCGCCGCCGCTGGGCTGGAGCGGCCGCCGCCTCGTCAGCATGAACCCCGGAGCCGCGCCCGGGAGAGCCGCGCTCGGGGAGGCGGAGCGGGAGGCCCGGCGCCGCGGGAAGCGCGAGCGGGAGACGGAGGGAAGGAGCGAGCGCTGTGCTAGGGCGGGAGGGCGGGAGAGAGGGAGCGCAGGAGGGAGGGAGGAAAGCGGGGAGGGCGGGCGGGTGGGTGTGTCCCGGCCCGAGGACTAGCCTCCACCGCCGCTGGCGCTGCCCGCCCGCCCGCCCGGGAGAGGGGTGCGGGGCCGAGTCGGGGGCCCAGTGCGCGGGGTGTGGTCTGGGGCGGAGGGCTATGGTGCCCGCGCGGGGTACGGGAGGCCTCGGGGTAGGTGGGAGGGTACAGTGGAGCCCAGGGGAAGAAGCGGGCTCAGCGATCGGGGTGTGGGCCGCGGAGCGTGGAATGGATGAGCGGGGCGCGCGGTGGAGGCCCTGGTGCAACGGGATCGTCGGCTGAGGCCCAGGGAGGTTTATTCACCCGGAGGCCAGACGTCGTGGGAGACGTTTGCAGTCGCTAGTGGGTTCCGGGTGAGGGACATCCTGACGCTCGAACTGGGAACGGAGGGTTCCGCAGGGGAGCGGGGCTGCGGAAGGGTTCGGGCACGGAGTTGGGGTGATGCAGAGCTAGGGTGTGCGGCCAGGCGGAGGGGATGCTGGGCCGGGAGTGAGGAGGCGGTGAGTGGTGCGCGGGGAGTCTGCAGACCCGGCTCGCACTGTGCAGTCCGCAGAAGCAATCGGGATGGGAGTCGCTGTGCGGAACTGTGCGTCCTCGAGGCTAGACCTCCTGGCACGTGGGGCTGTGGGTGCCTCTGGGGACTGAAAGGAGGATGTGGGTGGCTGAGGGTGGAAAGTGGCCTGCGGGAGCGGAGTTGGGCCAGAACTCAAGAGCTTGGGGCGTCTGGCTGCTGCCAGGTCCGGGTAACAGCCACCAGTGTTGGAGGGTCTGAGCCTTTCAGCGCCCTCATCTTCTTGTTCCAACTTGCAGGCCAGACTTGCATCCCTGTCAACCGGTGGGCGGGGCACGGCTGGGGGTGGCGGGCTTCGGGTGCTCGCGCGCCCTGTTTACCAATCACCGCTGCCTGGGCGGGGCCGAGGCTCGTGACGTACGGGCGGGCAGGAGAAGACCATCTGGCTCCGCCCCCTCTCCCGCTTGCGCGCGCACTTGCCTCCTCCACCCCACCCCGCGGTGGCTTTCAAGAGGGGAGACCCAGTGGAACTTGCTCACTTTTCCACGCGGGTGGGATGCCGGCAGTAGGCAAGCCGTGTGTTCACCGGCGAGCGTCCGCAAAGTTGGAAAGAACCTTCCAGAAGCGCTTCTGGTAGGGTGTGAGCTCGCAGGCGAGTGGTGTCGGGAGAATCCCACTGTGGGAGACTGCCCCGGGGCAGGACTTCTGCGCCCCGAACACGAGGAAGGCCTGTGTGCGGAGGAGCAGCAGATCCAGAAGTCGGCGATTTGTTCCCACACCCAAGCAAGTGACATCTTGGGACTAAGGGCGTCCCAGGTGCCCTTAGAGTGCGCTCGCCCAGGAATGCTCTTCTCAAAGCACCTTAGGGACTCCGATGAGTATCTTGGGGCAGCCAAGTCATGCAGCGCGAAGGGTCCATTTGATGAGAATGTAGCGCCCCCTGCCCCCGGCTTGACCTCCTTAGCCCTTGCAGAGGCAGACTCATTAAAGCCAGGTAGCGCCCAGGACTTGCCTTCTCAGTCTAACGCCTGTCCCACCTTGTGTCTGGGCTCACCTGGGCATGTGTTTAAGCCCTGGATTGGTATATCAAGGGCCTCCGGGAGCGATTTTCACACGTGTGGAGATTCCTGCTTAGCTTTTTCTGTAGCGGTGATTTAGGCGGGGCGGGGGAGGGAAGGGGGAACCCGGCAGTAACAATTCTTTCCTTACCGGCATCCTCTGCCATTCTCCGGGTCGGAAATCACCTGCAAGTCCCTCAACCCCCACCCCACCATCTTCACCCATTCACCTTCCTTTCTTTTTAAATTTATTCTTTGAATATTTCACATATGTATACACTATATCTTGATCAATTCATCCCTCAGCTCCCCGCAGCAGCCCGTTCCATCCCCTATCCAGTTTCGTGTCCTTTATAATTATTTATTTGCCCTGATTACGGTTAGTCTGAACACATGGTTGTGGGATCAGCCACTGACTGAGGCGTGGGGAACTCACCGGTGGCTACACGTCTCAAGAAAACTGACTCTTCCGGCGCTGTGGGGCCCCGCGGCCCCTCCCTACTCATTGTTGGAATTCTTGCCTGGCCTAATCTTGTGCAGACACCCACAGCTGCCCTGGGCTAACTTGTGAAAGAGGGAAAAATCATAGCTCTCTCCCCTATCCCGCTTTCACACTCTGCCCCCTTTTCCATGTCTTCCCTGAGCCTTGGCGCGTGGGGGGGGGGTGGCTTGTTGATGGAGATGGTCCGGGAATGGCTGAGCACCCTGAGTTGCCTACTCTGGGCACTTTGAATAGCAATTCATCTCTGCATGACCACTGCCCTTGCCTGCTACAGTAATAAGTAGCTTCCTGATCATGGCTGGGAGCAGCACAAATCCCGCGTCAGGGGAGGAAGAACTTCTCCGAGTCCTTTTTCTCTCCCATCGTCAGCTCATTTAAGAATCCAATTTATTAATAGAAATCAAGGAAAAGCATTACCCATCGTCCCATCCCACCCTTAAACCAATCTTTACTTTCCTCCATTTCTCCTTGCCATTGCTGACAAGATTTTTATGTAGGTATAAAATCCAAACTGAACCACATGTTTAAAATATTGGGGTCTGGGCTGGAGAGGTGACTCGGTGGTTGTCAGCTCTGGCTGTGCTTCCAGATGACCGAGGTTCAGTTTTCTGCACCCACATAGCTACTCACAACCAACCTTCACTCCAGTCCCAGAGGGATATGCTGCCCTCTTCTGGCTTCCGAGGGCACTCACTGTACACGCATGATGCACATTCATATATGCAGATAAAGCACACATAAGTTAAAAAATTTAAATACATTTTACGTGAGTACTTTTACACACAAAATATGTGGATATGTGTGCACAAGTTATAAATAGAACCCACTGAGTCCATTTTTGTTGTTTGTGTGTATATGGTTTCAGAAATGACCACCTTGTCTTGGATAACCAATATGGGCTCATCCATGAGAGAGGCTAATTCTCCTTCTAGCAGGCATTAGTTATCTAGGGGCGGGCCCTATGAAAATTTCCCTCTTCTATGTTAGTGTGTCTACTGATAGTGCCATTGTTTTGGTATCGTTGGTGCAGCTATTTGTAGAAGTAAATTTTTAAAAATTTAAATGTGTTTTTCATGTGGTGACATAATCATTATAACTATAATAAATAATTTCATAGTATTATAGGAAGAGTCTGAGATGACACAGTACTTTGGTTTGCAGATGAAAGATTAAGGTATGTGCCCACAGACTAACCATGATGGGAATATATACATCTATATCTTAGCTGTTAAAGTACATATACAAGATGAATCAACTAATTAAATAAAAGCAAATGCACCAAAATAAATGTGGGCAAATGCTTTACTTATTTATTTCCTCAGATTCATAGAAATCTGCCTGTCCCTCCCTCCCGAGTGCTGGGATTAAAGGCATGCACCACTGCCACCTGGCTTCAGCAAGCATTTATTAAGTGCCTTCTGTTTGCTTTGATCTAGGCAGTGGGGTTTATGGAGCTGAGCTACCTTGTTCTCTGTTGAAATAGGAGCGGTGGGGCTGCGTCCCCAAACACCCTGGCCGCTTGCTAGCTTATGCCCAAAATAACAACACACAAACTGTATTCATTTAAGAACTGCTTGGCCCATGAACTCTAACCCTTACAGGCTAATTCTCGCACCTGGACTAGCCCATTTCTAATAATGTGTGTAAGCACCCCAAGGTGCGCTTACCAGGAAGATTCTAGCCTCCGTCCATCATGGTGTCTCTGCTCCAGAGCTGTTGGCTCTGTCCGGAAGCAGAGCAGAGTCTGACCTCACTTCCTCTTCTGCCCAGCATCCTATTCTGTTTCCTCCTCCCATCTATCTTTTAACCTATCAGGGCCAAGCAGTTTCTTTATTGCTCAGCCAATGAAATCAACAGATTGATATATGACACTCCCACATCAGTTCTCCCATAGATCAGGCGTGAGTGTGGCTCTTCCTGTTTGTGGCCACATCATCCCCAGTACCCAGAGGACAGATGGCAGCCATTGGAGGTCAACCACATCAAGGCTCAGAGAGGCTCAGAAACAGTTGAAAGGATGAGGAGAAGTCTTGTTTCCCTGGAATACTGCCCTAATATGAAATACTGGTATCATACTCTTGTGCCAGTGATGTAGAGACAGCTTTAGATCTGGCATGGTGGTGCACGCCTTTAGTCCCTGCACTCAGAGGCAGAGGCAGCCAGATCTCTGAGTTCAAGGCCAGACTGGTCCATAGAGTGAGTTCCAGGCCGGCCAGGGCTACACAGAGAAACCCTGTCTCAAACAAAACAAACAAATAAACAAAAATAGCTTTCAGGTGACTCTTATTTCCCAGTCCTGGGGACTGAGCCCAGGGCTTCGTGTGTACTCCCAGGCAAGCTGCCGTTCAGCTGCACTGTTTTACAATCCTATTTCTTTTCCTTTTTTTATGTTGTGTACCTTAGACTCCCAGACCTGCAGCCATGATCCATGACACATATGCAAGCAGTATTGCCATTGATCCAACATCAGCCCTCCTTCTGTTCATTAAATTTTATGTATTGATTGAGTTACTAGTGCTATTGAAATTATGAAACAAGGGGCTGGAGAGATAGCTCAGTGGTTAAGAGCATTGCCTGCTCTTCCAAAGGTCCTGAGTTCAATTCCAGGCAACCACATGGTGGCTCACAACCAT